AGTCAACATTAAAAACATGGCACCCTCTGTGAAGGTTGGTGTACCACAATGGTGGCATCAGCTTTTAAAGTGAAGATGTCCACCACCATCCTTCTAGTCAGTAGTGAGGATAACTGGTTACCTGAATTTACCTGAGAACTGCTCTCTCTTGTGGCCTTGACATGAAAAGGAAGCCAACAACTTGCCAAAGGTCCCCCCCCATTTGTTCTGATGATTGCAAAAGCTGGATTTTAAAATTCATCAATGTTTTGGTGTGTGCATGGCTTTGGTGAGTTGGCAGTTCCATGGGTTTATAACATTATATGTGAAAAAGCATCTCCTGTTTTCTGTCAGACATTGTAGCTTGTTGAGCTTGAAACCATTGCTCCTTGTTTGTGTTACATCTGACCATTTGAAGAAGTTGTCTGGATCATTATCCTCCAAATTGTTAAGTATTTTAAAAGTTTCGATGAGATCCACCTTGGCATGTCTGGTTTGCAATGTTGTTACCCCCTGAGGCCCTCAACCTATCCTGGTATGAGAGTCGACTTGGTTCTGGAATGATTTATGTTGCCTGGTGTTGAAATTTCTCCAAAGGAGCTATGTCTTTCTGAAGATCATCTCCATGAGCTTGCAGATGTGTGAGGTCAAGCTGATTGGATGGTATTTTTCTGCTGAGGTTTCTCTGCCTTTTTTGGAAATATGGGTGACATTTACACATTTCCAATCAATGGAAACTATCCCTTTTTTTTTAATAAAGAGGAAGGAGAGGCATAGGTGAAGGGAAGTATAGAAGTGGGAAATACAGTGAGAGGTATGAAAGCAGGCGGGCTGTCCGCCTTGCTGACACGATGTGTGGGTGTTGGCAGCTAAGCTAAGCTTGCTCCCTCTTGTCAGGGAGCTGTGAGTGTGTGAGAGGTTCTTCACAAGTGTTTCACCATATATGGATGTCTATAGATGAATATTGTGTAGCATTCATATATACACACTCCGCTGCTTCCACACATGTTGGAAACTATCCCCTGGTCCAGAGATTTTCTGAAAAGTAGTTTCAGTGGTAGGCATAGTTCGTGTGCCAGTTCCTTTACAGCTTTGGATTAAATTCCATCCACAACTGAGGATTTTGAGTCCTTTAGTTTGTCAGTGCTCTTCCTGATTATGTTGCACATTATGGTTATATCCCTTAATTCCCTCTCTTCACTTTCTTCAAATATTTATTTGAGTACAGGTAATGGTATGTCATGTAATCTTTCCAGTGTGAAAAATGATGTAAAGTTCTTCACTCATTCAAACTGAATTTAGGCAATTTCTATGTAGCCAAAATTAATTTGGAGGGAGTTTAAACATTTTAAAACATTTCTATGTGTCATAGCTCCTTAGTTATGTTTCATTCTGTTCCTTAGCTTTGAGAAAAGACAATTTGCAGGGACATATCCTCATTGAGCACAAAGTCGTCCAAAAGCCTGAAATTTCAGTGTCCTCATTGTGCTAGCTAAGCAGGCAAATAAGAATAGGTTAGAGGTAGAAAATTAAGGGAAGTAAACATACACAATATCAGGGATTATGGTTCCCATGAGTCAGATGACACAAAAGTTAATAAAGCTTACTGTCGACAATAATGGAGCCTTCTTTGACTTTGTAGTCCTGGTTGAGGTAACCACTTGCAACCTTGGTTTCTAATCGCTCTCTGACAATGCTAATATTGAGAGGTGCTGTTTGGTGGCTGACAGTCTGCTCATTGAAGTATGTCCATCCAATCCTGAAGGTGCATATAATACTCCCGGGTCTGCAAGATCAACTAAAATTAGAGGTCTTACATCTTCCAAGTCATTGGGAAAGACACAATAGAAGGCACATAAAACCTGCAAAGCTAATAAAATACTAATATTCACTATCAAATAGTTATGTGCTCCTTACTTCATCTGTCAAATATGCTACATAATCTGTAGTGGTCTAAATATCATTACATCATTATTATTATTATTATTATTGTTACAAAAGTGATAATACTATACATATAAAACTAGATTTCTTACTACATACCATCATAATTAAATAGCTACCCTTTGTAATACTATAAATGATTTGTCTATGCATGTAAAAAAAACACATGCTCTTAATTTTTGTGTGTGTGTGTGCAATTTTCTAAGTGTAATTACATGTAATTACCTAAGTTTAGTGACAAGATGAGAGCTACGCCTGTGGTGTCCCGTCTTCTCAGTACTCTTTGTTGTATAACTCTTTGAAACTACTAACGGTTTTGGCCTCCACCACCTTCTCACTTAGCTTGTTCTAACTGTCTACCACTCTGTTTGCAAAAGAAAACTTTCTAATATTTTTTCGGCACTGTTGTTTCCTTAGCTTGAATCGAAGTCCTCTTGTTCGTGAAGTTGCTGATTTCAGGAATTCCTTTTTGTCAATTTGGTTGATTCCTGTTAGTATTTTGTAAGTGGTGATCATATCACCTCTTTTTCTTGTATCTTCTAGTTTTGGCATGTTTAACGCCTCTAGTCTCTCCTTGTAACTCAAGTTTCTCAGTTCCAGAAGCCATTTTGTAGCATGTCATTGCACCTTTTCCAATATCCATATGTGCTTCTTGAGATACAACTGCTGCATATTCCAATTTTGGCTTCACAAAAGTGATGAACAGTGGCTTTAGTATTTCACTATCCATATAGAAGTAAGTCTGAATTTGGAAAGCAAGGCATATGCTCCTCTCACAATGTTCTTTGTGTGTTCCTCTGGCGACAGCTTACTATTTAAAACCACCCTAAGTCTCGTTCTTTATTAGAGTTCTGTAATTCCTTTCCACATAATTTGTAGGTTCTGTGTGGTCTATTTCCTCTGATTTCATAATCCATAACATGGCATTTATTCACATTGAATTTCATTTGTCACTTGATGCTCCAAACACTTATTTTATCTAGATCAATTTGAAGAGCATTACAATTGTCTGCATCTCCTATCTTCCCCAGTATCTTAGCATCATCTTAGCATCATCTGCAAATATGTTCATATAATTCCGTATTCCTTCCGGTACTGTAGATTGTTTATGTAGACAATGAACATTACTGGTGCAAGAAGTGAACTCTGTGGTACTCCACTAGTGCCATCCACTCAGATACATTTTCTCTGATTAATGCCCTCATCTGTTTGTTTGTTAGAAAATTTTTCCCTGTCATCCCTCCTACATGTTTCAGTTTCCAGAACAGCCTCTTGTGTGGGACTCTGTCAAAAGTCTTTTTTTTTTGTTCCATATAGACCCAGTCAACCCAACCACCTCTTTCCTGTGGTAGCTCTGGGGCTCTATCATAAGCTTTATCATGGAGGGGGGTATAAATAGCCTAAGCTACTCTATCCCTTTGAGATGTATTTTTTATTGTCTCAATAAACATACTTGAACTTAAACTCTCTCATTAAAGCTAAGTAGATTTGTTACACAGGATCTTCCTGTTTGAAAACCATACTGCCTGTCCATAGCAGTCTCCGTGGCGCAGTGGTAAGATACTCGCCTGGCGTTTCGCAAGCGCCTTGCCTTGGGTTCGAATCCTGGCCGGGGAGGATTCACCGGGCGCCAATCCTTAACTGTAGCCTCTGTTCACCCAGCAGTGAATGGGTACCTGGTTGTTAAATGATTCGGCGGGGTCGTATTCCGGGGAAATTAGGGTTAAGGACCTTGCCCGAAACGCTACGCGTAATAGTGGCTTTACAAGAATGTAAACTCTTGTATATATGTATTATGTCATTACTCTCCAGGTGTTCAACCCAAAACACTAGAAACTATTGTTTCTAGTGTTTTGCTTGTTAATGATACAGGTCTATAATTTAGAAGTTCCTCTCAACTACCATTTTTATAGATTGGTACTATGTTTGCCTTTTTCCATATACAGTATTTGCTAAAATTCCTGTGTACAAGGATGTCTTGAATATTATTTGGAATGGAATGCTCAGATCATTTGCACATTCTCACAGCACCCAAGGTGAAACTCCATCAGGTCCAACTGCTTTATTTTTTCCTAGTCCCTTGAGTAATTTTTTAACTTCATCTTGGGATTCCTCTATATATTCTATGGTGTGCTCTGGAATTGGCATTGATCCAGCTCTCTGAAATTATCATTTTGTACAAACACACTTTAGAACTGTTCATTTAGCACTTCATGCATTTCTTTTTCATTCTCAGTAGTCCTGTTCCCCATTCTCAATCTCTGGCTTTTATTCTTTACATGCAGCTTGCTTTTGATGAACTTATAGAAAAGGCCTGGATCTGTTTTACATTTGTCCTCTATACCTTTCTCAAGGTTCCTTTTTGCCTCTCTTCTCATTGCTGTGTAATTGTTTCTGGCTTGCTTGTAGTGCTGGTAAGTTTACAGGCTAGGCTTCTTCCTGCCCATTTTCTTGTATTTTCTTTTCTGACCCTCTCTCAATTTCTGTTGAGAGGGCCGGAGAGGAAAAGACAAGAAAATGGGTTCAAAATAGGAAGAGGCCTAGTCTGCAAACATACCAGCACTACAAACAAACAAGCAAGAAACAATTACACAGCAGTGAGTAGAAGGGCTGTGAGGTGTGTGTGTGTGTGTGTGTGTATGTAATTACCTAAGTGTAGTTACAAGATGAGAGCTACCCTCATATGTTCTGTCTTTCCAACACTCTGTCATACGTATAACGCCTTGAAACTACTGACGGTTTTGACCTCCACTACCTTCTTGCCTAACTTTTTCCAACCGTCTACCACTGTTTGCGTAAGTGAATTTTCTTACATTTCTTCAGCAGCTTTGTTTAGTTAGTTTAAATCTATGACCTCTTGTTCTTGAAGTTCCAGGTCTCAGGAATTCTTCCCTATCAATTCCTTTTTATCGATTCCTGTTACTATTTTGTGCATAGTGATCATATCGCCTCTTTTTCTTCGTGTATTCACCTAGTACTCACCTAGTTGTGCTTGCGAGGGTTGAGCTCTGCTCTTTCGGCCCTTTCATTTATGTGTGTATTTTTACATAAAAGTAAAGCATAAAAGTAAAGTACAGTAATTGATTCAACAAACAAAATGTAAATAAAAGAAATACAAACGTAAATAAGGCAGTCTTTCAAGTTAAATTACCCCAAGTAATAATTGTTGACCAACTGAACAAATGGATAGCTTAGTAGATAGGTGAAGGCAGTGAAGGTGAGTAACCTTAGTAAAGAATGCTTGTTGTAGCACTAATACAGTACATGAAAGGTATACAGAAGTGACTTACTCAAATCTGAGGATCCTGAGTTTTAGTGCGGCCTTCCCATTATAGAGCTCAGCTGAGCTGAAAAGCACTGTCCCCAACTGTAAATTGAAGATGTTTGTTAACACTTAATACCCATATTACTCATTCTGAGAGCTGAACACCTAGCCAGCTCTATCTTCCCTCTGATCATTCATAGCTACAGTACTAGTATTGCTCAGAAAAATAAACCGGTTTACTTATACTGTATTTACTAATTCAAAGTCTACATATGCATAATCTGTGATGCCTTTCCAAACACAGTTCTAGGATAAATATCTGGGCAGAACATGGTTACTCTTAAATATACTTGATGGCCACCAGATGGAATGAGTCAGAGAACTAGGAAGACAATATAGTGTGTTAAGGGTCCATCTACTTTATCTGAAGAGTATATCCAAGTCTCTTATAGTTCTGCACTATTAGCGTTTTGACTGTTTTATCAGGCGATAGACTGTTCCAAAGGTTTATTATTGTTTGGGTGCATGAGTGTATCCTAAAATGCCTATTCTGAACTTAGGCTTAACTGTAACATACCCCACATCACTACCAATATACAAATCTACCTATTTTTATACATATTAGTGTACAGTTATATAGGTTACTCCTGTCAATAGGTTTCTGAGCAATTTCACTCGGTTGCTCCTAATTTAAGATCCTATAGTCGCCTTTGTATAGGATCACCAATACAGTAATCTACTGGGGTCAACATTTGGCCTGATACAACAAGGAACATTTTAAACTCCCCACCAGATCAAACTAGTGCTAGGAGAATACTGAAGACAGATCAATTCAACTAAGATTGTAGACAGGAAAGTGACAATTATTGCCACTAGCAATGGCTAGTTAACCTGTGTTTATGGCTAGTTTACTGCTAGTTTATTGCCTATTTATTATACTAGTAAAATTGCCTATAATCTATAATATTATAGTTTAGATGTCCTATAATCATATTATGAACGGTAACACAAAAGAATTTCAAAGGGCACAAAAGGTCTTAATTAGACCACAGTAGATGTTTTAAATTAGCATTTACAATTAGTGGTTACAATAAAACCCAAAAGCCTTTTCCAGTCACAACATAGCAATGTAGAGCTCACCTAGAGGTATCCTGGAAAACTACTAAACTTTAATTATGTTACTGTACTGTCACCAGCAGGGATCACTAAATGACAACACCTCATAGCAGGTCAGATGTAAGAGGTGCCTAGAATTACCTTCTCTGGTCAGTCAGTACTGTTGTTGTGTTGATTTAGGGGCGATGACGACCATGGGATCGGATGTGCTCCGGCTGCCCGATACCGGGAAATGGCGGAGGGATGGGGTTCCTATAGTCTCTTCAGGCCATAGACCCTACAATCTCCTCAGGCCACATATTTTATAGTCTCTTCAGGCCACGGGCATGACGGATGAAGCGGAAGGTATGGTGAAGGATGTCATGACGGACGTCTTCGTCTCTCGCACCTGCCCCGTCAAGGAGAACGGGAACTGTGAGGCGGGGAATATTCAGCCTATGAACAGTACTCTGTAGTCTGAAGCGAGCGCTATGAAATCGAGGGCAGTGAAGAAGAAGGTGTTCCACTGTATCTCCTGGGTCGGACACCACTGGCAGTATGGGGAATCTACCAGCCGTAGACGATGTAGATGTGCAGCCAGGCAGGTGTGCCCAATCTGGAGACGAGTGAGGGCAGTGTCGAGGAGTCGAGAATGATGACGAGTCCATGGACGTGAGGAGGAGCCCTCCCGGAGACCCGCCAGAGAGGAGGACTCGAGTGCTGGCTCCATCATTGCCTCCCAACTCGCGAGGCAAGCCGCCCGGAGTTGCGGGAGAATTTCAGAAAGGTCCAGAGGCACATTTGTAGAGTCATAGAGAGCATGCGCCATCCCTGCTGCTGCGTCGGCCACCTCATTGCCATTAATACTGACATGTGACGGAACCCATTGGAGATAGATCGCCCAACCCGGAGTACCAGAGTATGACAGCAGTTCTCCACAGATCTGAGACACAGTATGACGATGGATTCGTGGACGCCAAGATGAAATCAGATGTAGGGCTGTAACTGAGTTCACGTAGTGGAGATGACCATAGAGGGCCCTGAAACTTGTCGAAGGAGTTGTAAGGCTAGTAAGATTGCAAACAGTTCGAACAGGCACGAATGAGCAGGGGAGAGTTTCCACGTCTGACAGAAAGAAAAAGGAGCAAAGTATGCTGCCGCAGATGTGGATGGTGGCTGATCTTTGTGGGACCCATCCATGTAAACCTCTCAGTATCCAGAGTATAAGGAGGCTCGTAGGTCTACAAAAGTTAAAGGGGCCCTGACCCTCTAAATCCTTCTTTCGACGAGGAGACTTGGAAAAGTCCACAGAAACCCGGATGAGCTCTTCTGCCCATGGAGGCACCAGTGAGATGATAGGGTCAGAGGTGAGTACAGGGACGAGAAGGGAAAACTGTGAATGTGCATCCAAGGCCCCGGACGACGAAAGGCAACTGATGGTGTCTGGAGTGTCCAGCTTGCACATTCCACCAGTTAGCCTCAAGCTGCAGGCGAGTAAGTGGATGGGTAGCAGGGAGATGCACTATCCGTTGAAGCCGGCGACAGAAGGTGAGGAAACGTTCAAAGTGCAGGGGCGATAACCCCGACTTGGCATGAAGAGAGAGGACTGGTGAGGAGGGCACAACTCCTAGCACTGAGCGAAAGGCACCATTTTAAATGGGATCCAGCCTTGCCAAGACCAATGATGCTGCTGAGCCATAGACTTCACTCGCATACATGATCTTGCTACGAATAAAGACCTTATAGAGAGCTAGGAGCGACTCCTGTGAAGCCCCCCATGCCGCACCAGAGAGCTGTTTCATGATGTTCACGTGACAAAGGCATGAGGCCCGAAGGTAATCCATATGATGCCTCCACGTCAGCCGAGGGCCATCTAGAACGACCCCCAGCCATCTGTGTTTCGTAGTTTTCACGAGGTTAATGGTGAGCCCCTTCCCCAGCACAATTGCAGTGAACACAGTCACGTCGTTTTGCAGGGAGCCTTGTGCCTCCAGGAGAGTGGCACCATCCGCCACGAGTGTTATGTCATTGGCATAGGCTAAAACCTGGATCCCCCAGAATACTGGGAGATCAGACAGAAGAATAGAGAATAATAGCGTGCTGAGAATCGTTCCCTGGGGGACATCAAGCGAGAGAGGGCGGGACGTGGAGACGACTCCACCAACTGCCACTTTGAATGAGCGGCCCTGTAGATAGTTTTGTAACCACCTCAGCGCAGTACCCGAGAGACCTAGTCGAGCCAGACTCTGGAGGACAGCAGAATGAGATGCAGAGTCAAATGCACTCTTGATGTCAAAGAATGCTGCAAGGAGCACTCTTCTCCGGCAATAAGTGTCCATTATTCGATGTTCCAAGGAGAGGAGGCAGTCTAACGTGCTTCTTCCTGGCCGAAATCCACTGATACCCTCAGGTAGTAAGGTAGGAGACCTGAGGTTTCCACCACCCATTGTAGCTGGGTGTGAACAAGATGTTCCATCAGTTTCCCGAGACATGGAAGCAGACTTATGGGCCGATATGAACTCGGTACAGACGGATCCTTCCCTGACTTGGCCAATGGTAGAAGAATGGCGTGTTTCCAAAGGTCAGGGAAGACACAAGAGGACCAGCAGGCGTTATAGAAGTGAAGGAGGTGGGACTGAAGGATCCTGGGTGCCCTCCGAACAAATTCATATGGAACGTTGTCTATACCTGGCATAGTGGCCAATCTAGAGAGTGACAGTGCGTCCTCCAGCTCAACAGATGTAAATGGACGATCCAGGTCCTGAGCTAGTCCTATACCCTGTCGGGAGTCCCATCCTATGGAACTCACAGAAAGAAGTGGGGAACGGTAAACATCCTCAAAGTGGTCAGCCAAAAGTTTGGCTATTTGTACTTCCCCCAGGCCCCCATTACCACTGGGGTCTCTGAGTGGAATGGAAGGCTGGGAGAACCTACCTGTCATCTTGCGAACAAAGGCCCAGGCTCCTGCAGAGGAGGAATCAAATCGGAGAGAGGCACAGTAATCAGCCCAGGCCTTGTGGTTGGCAAGGAGGACTGTTCTTCTACACCTGGCATCTGCTCTGTGGAAGGACTGCCGCAGTGTGCGGAGAGTTCACGGCTGTGTGGATGTCGCTCTGGAGGTTTCGGGTCACTTGCGGATCGATGATCCGGCTCCATTTGGACTGCTCCCTGTGGTTCATTGCCTGAACCGAGGGGGTTCGATGCGGTCCCTGGCTCTTTGACGCTGGTCGCTTTGGGTGACTCGTCTGCTGAGTTCTCGGGGTTTGGTGCTTCAGGTTCAGGAGATGTCCAATGTCCTGGCGGATGGCCTGTCACAGTTCATTCCCCTTTCCACGGAATAGAGGGTCGACGCTGACTCATTCAGTTGGCTCTGCCAGACGTTTGGGCCTCCGAAAGTGGATCTCTTCGTGTCAGCGTGGTTGAGGCATCTCCCGGTATACGTGGCACCCTTCCTGACTGCGAGGCTGTTGGGGTCAACGCCTTCAGGCAGGACTGGGCAAGGTGGGGTTACCTATACCTCTTTCCCCAGTTCAGCTGTTGCTCTAGGTCCTGGCTTACTTGGAGACTTACCAAGGAAGAGTTGTCCTTCTGGTTCCTTGGTGGCCGGTCCAACCTTGGTTTCAGGTGCTACTTGCTCTGTGTCTGAACCCGAGGGTCTTCCTGCGGCTCTGCCTCTTTCAGCAGATTGGTCCTGCCCGGTATGAGGCTAGTTCGTTCTTCTCCTCAAGTCCTCGCGTCTTGAGTTTCTGACTCGGATCTATCATCAATTGCCTGGTGCGCAGGTGGCTTCGTTGTTGGTCTCTCACCTGCGTGCTTCTCGGTGGCAGTATAAAGTTTCCTGATGGTTCTTCCGGTTTTTCCTATCACTGCATAGGTGTACTTCAGTCTCTGATTGGGTTGTTTTGTCCTTCCTTCCTTTCGAGGTTGTTCCATGACCATCATCTTATGTCGCCTAGTATCGTGCGGCGCTGGCGGAGCCGCTGCAGCTTGCGTTCGGTATTGATGTTACTTCTGCTCCGTTCTGCTGTCTCATGTGTTGTTTCACCTCCGGCCTGCTCATAAGTGCTTCCTGAGCCGTCCTGGTCGTTAGACCAGGTGCTCTCTTTTCTATCTTCTCCTTGGTTTGTCTTGGCCCTTTCGGTTCAGGATTGTATTTCTAAGGCTCTTTTTCTGTTGGCATTAACCTCTGAGTGTCAGGTATGGAAGCTTCGTGCTCTTCTCCGGTGCAGGGGGGGTTTCTGCACTTTTGGTCCTGGTAGTAGGTTTGTTCGTCTGCAGCTGTCTCCTCCTTTTCTGGCGAAGAATGAGGCTGCTGCTTTCTGGAGGGGTCATTGATGCTTGGTTGGTTAGGCTGAGAGTGCATCATGTGTTACGTCCGGCTGCGGCTCTCCACCATTATTTGCACGCCATGGCTTCGGTGACCGGGGATGCATTTTGAGTTAACCCGGTTTCCCGCCTTCCCTGTTCGCGGGCACAGATCTCCCAGGTCGTCTGCAGGTTCCTTTGGTTTGCCCGTTGTCTTGATTTGAGTTTAGGGAACGTAGCATCTGCCTCCCGGTTATTCCCTCTTTATCCTTCTCTTTGGTGAGGTAGCTACGAAGAGCTGACAGGGCTCCTGCCAGAAAACCAGAGTTGAATGTAATGAAATGCCATTTTCTGGGTGAGACCCGGAGGCTCCCCGGCATCCCTCCCTCCCTCTGGTCGGTGGTGTTTTCATGTATTTTGACATCCAGCCTCAGAACTGAAGGGTGGATCAGTGGCACAAGGGTCTGGGGCTCCCCCTTCCCCTCCCTTGGGCAAGGGTCTGGGGCCGGGGGAGTTGCGCAGACAGTTATGAAGCAACGTGATGACGTCATGCTAGTTTGCTAATTTTCATTTGGGGAGTTCTTGTTCTTGTTCGTGCACTTGTTCGGCTTTCGGTAGCAATATTTTCACCAGAATAGGGGGTTTGTTTTGGGGGCGCCTACCTTTCTGGGTGCCAGATCCAATCGATGGCAGACATAGAAAGCTCCCAACCACACAGGGATTTCTATAGGCCATTGCTCCTCATGCCTTTATGAGGGGACCAGGTTCTAGCTCGTGGTCCCCAGTAAGCAAAAACTCCATGCACATTGACTGCTGCCAGAAAGCTAATATATCCATATCAGCCTGGATAGCTCTGGGGAGCTTCCGGGTCTCACCCAGAAAATGGCGTTTCATTACATTCAATGCTGATTTTTTGGAATCAAACTGGACTATCTCAGTGGTCTTCCCTGATACAAGAGAGGCAGAGGGCCCTGAGTGAGTCCCAAGCATCCTTTCAACCTTTGGCCTAGAGGTCAGCATGCAACGTAAAGCTCAGTGGGTCGTCACCCTGCCACATCATGCTTAATCATCAAACCTCTGTATACTACATTTGTGCACATATATATATATATATATACTGTAGTTACTATCTGTGTTGATTGTCACCAAAATTAACATAAAAGTTACACATGTATTGCCACAGTGCGCCTGAGACAGACGTTTGGGTTTTATGGAAAGCAGTTTTCTATCAACTTTCCTTGTTGGGTCAAATATTCTCCAGTATTTCCTTAACACTCATAAATCCAGTGGGGACAGTGTGAAAGGTTCCACTTGCTTGACTGTTGGTGATCTTATTCCAGGGTGAGTAGGAGCTTGCCTAAAAGAGTGACTGAATGTATACTGTTTATAAAAGTGCTTTACATAAACATAAAAGCAATCTTACTGGGTATTTGCTTTTATATTTACATACTGATCTTAAATTGTATAATTTTCAAATAAAATTTAGTTTTGAAATGTATTTACTCACCTCTTTCTCCAAGGCATTGGCAAGTCCCTTAAAGTTGACCGAGTCAATGTCCGTTAACTCATTCGTAAATTCCAGATTGTCGATTGTAAATTTAGCTTCTAAAGCATTAGGAACTGGGGAGAAAGAAGGAAATATTTTATTATGCAACAATTGCTTTTAGTGTTTTACATGCTACTTAATAATAAAGGAACAAACAGTATAGGAACAAATAGTATAGGGATGAACATGGGGACATACGGACCCTTAACCTTTCACTTGTCAATATAATTGGACTATACAGTACACAGTTAATGAAGGTTAAGGAAGTTATACACCTTTTATGGGAGACATTACATTCCTACAATACAAATAAATGTAATATAGCCAGACACAAAGAAAGGCAGCAAAAAGAATCGGGGAAGTGAAACAAATTTACAAAGTTGTGTGTGTGTGTGTGTGTGTGTGTGTGTGTGTGTGTGTGTGTGTGTGTGTGTGTGTGTGTGTGTGTGTGTGTGTGTGTGTGTGTGTACTCACCTATTCACCTATTTGTGCTTGCAGGATCGAGCATTGGCTCTTGGATCCCGCCTTTCCAGCCATCGGTTGTTTACAGCAATGACTCCTGTCCCATTTCCCTATCATACCTAATTTTAAAAGTATAAATAGAGTTTGCTTCCACAACCTGTTCCCAAGTGCATTCCATTTTTCCACTACTCTCACGCTAAAAGAAAACTTCCTAACATCTCTGTGACTCATCTGAGTTTCCAGTTTCCACCCATGTCCCCTCATTCTGTTATTATTACATAATTACCTAAGTGTAGTTACAGGATACACTCATGGTGTCCCGTCTTCCCAGCACTCTTTGTCATATAATGCTTTGAACTGTGTGTGTTTGTGTGTGTGTGTGTGTGTGTGTTTGTGAGAGAGAGAGTGTGTGTATTCACCTAGTTGTATCCACCTAGTTGTGTTTGCGGGGGTTGAGCTTTGCTCTTTCGGCTCGCCTCTCAACTGTCAATCAACTGTTTACTAACTACTTTTTTTCCCCACACCACACACACACACACACACACACACACACACACACACACACACACACACACACACACACACACACACACACACACACACACACACACACACACACACACCAGGAAGCAGCCCGTGACAGCTGACTAACTCCCAGGTACCTATTTACTGCTAGGTAACAGGGGCATTCAGGGTGAAACCTTTGCCCATTTGTTTCTGCCTGGTGTGTGTGTGTGTGTGTGTGTGTGTGTGTGTGTGTGTGTGTGTGTGTGTGTGTGTGTGTGTGTGTGTGTGTGTGTTACTAAGTGAGTTAGTGAGTGAGTGAGTGAGTGTGTGAGAGAGAGAGAGAGAGAGAGAGAGAGAGAGAGAGAGAGAGAGAGAGAGAGAGAGAGAGAGAGAGAGAGAGAGAGAGAGAGAGAGAGAGAGAGAGAGAGAGAGAGACAGACACAAACAGAGAGACAGACAGACACAAACAGACAGACAGACTAAGAGAGATACTTACCATAAGGTGGGGTGGTGGAGGGGGCTTGGGTTGAGCCTGCCCCTGACAGACTGCTGCTCTGTATACCTTGACCATAGTCAGCGATCTTCTTCAGCTTGCCCGCTGTCACAACACATCATCATCACATTAAAACCATGCAAGCATGTGCACCAAATATGAACCACTTACACTAAGTGATATTTAGTAGATAATCATTAAGATAATATTAAGATAATATTAAGATAATCAACTATTCAGTATTGAGAGATAGTTGTTCCATATTCACAGAAGTTCTACTGCAGATACAGTAATTAAATGTTCCTGTTAATTCCACATAAATTATCCCTCAGAATTCCACACTCCAAAAAGTTTACCTAAGGGCCAATAACACTTTAGCGGCCTCGACGAGGACAGGAAGCCGGCGGCTTGTCAAATTTCTACGATAAATCATCTCCATTAATCGCACGTGCACTACTTACAATTTATATTTGTTCCCAAGGTTTCCAAGGAAGTAAGAACAACTGGAAGTAAGTTTTGAAGCATGATGATCAACTTGTCAGAAGCATTCTGACTCAGGGTCAGGTGAAATGTGGAATAAATGCCATCACAAACTTACAATCTTCAGCCCCGCTCCTGTGCCAGGTAAGTCCACTACGGGCTCACCATAGCCCGTGCTACTTGCAACTTTTTGTTCTGAGTAGCTGAGTCTAAAACAACAACAAGGTAAAATCATCAGTCTAACTCCACTAGTGGTTCAGTGACAAACTCACTGGATATACTGCGGGTCATCAACACCATCAACATTCAACAGCACGCATCATAACACTCCCAACAGGCCTCAATGTTATCTCCTGCCCTCCTCCTCGGCCCTTGTCGTCTCACATTTCCGACAAGATGGTGTCACACAGCTGTGTTTGACGAAGGATTAAGCTTGGGTCAACTGGTCTTGCACGTGTGATAACACCTTTCCCACTCTCTCCTCAATTGTATGAGTTAAGATCTCTGGATTTGTCGGTGATAAGGTCTACAGTTCCACCAGGTTGTTTCCCACGGGAAACTGCGACCTCGTGCCAAAGGAGGCGGAGCCTCATGGTACCTTCTATGTGAGATTGTTAGTTTGAGTTTAGTGTGGTTGTTACGACCCTGGGTTCTCCAGTGGAAACCAGAGGTCAAAATGGAGCTATTAAACTTTCTGGTAGTACAGTTGGGTGCATCACTAGCGGCAATTGTTTGTATCTTCCCTGCCAGACGTAAGACTATTATTGTTTCTCAAAGAGCATTTAAAGACTGAGCTGGGGGTTGATTATTAAATAATAACATTTAAAAAAAAATGTAAATTCTTTACTAAAGTGGTATTTGGCATTTTAGTTAAATTTTCCCTTGTATTTTAATTCTGAATAGATCATCTGGAGCTTTCTTGATGCTTCAGGCCTTACTCTCCATCCAATAATAACCGAGTTCAGTAAATTAATCATCAACCACTGAAGATATTAGAATAATAAATTAATTGGTTTCAAGTAATTATCAACAGAAGAAAGCCTCTAAGTCTGGGCTTGTAATGTCTTTAACCCCGCTCATCAGGGTCAGGACACTTAATTACACTTATGAGTGAGAGACTATGGGCTCACCATAGCCCGTGCTGCTTGGAACTATTTGTTCCGGGTAGCTGATCTTAAACAACAACAACTTATGAGTGGTGGCAGCCTTTAACGACCTGACGAGCTTACATATAATTATCCTTGTTGTAATATTCAGAGTTCTCCCATACGGTGTGCTAATAGTTTACCTGAAAGCCACTAACACTAGTGGCCTCGACGAGGACAGGAAGCAGGCGGCTTGTCGAAGGTCCTCCTCATTTGTCTTGATCTTTTTTCCAGCTGTACTTTAACATTTTAACAGTGTTTAGACATTTACGGCTTCGGCGGGTAGGCAGTTCCATGGGTTTATAACCCTGCGGGTGAAAAAGCATCTCCTGTTCTCATTCCTACATTGTGTCTTGTTGAGCTTGAAACTGTTCCTCCTTGTTTGTTACATTTGACCTTTACAAGAAAATTTTTGTATCAACATCCTCCAAATTGTTCAGTATTTTAAAAGTTTCACTGAGATCCGCCCTGTCATGCCTGGTTTGCAGTGTTCGTTAGCCCTGTGGCCCTCAACCCTTCCTCCTACATGAGTTGCCTTAGCTCTGGAATAATTTTTGTTTCCCTTTAACTTCCTGCACTTTCTCCAGAACATCTATGTTCTTCTGAAGATGAGGTCTTAATGCTTGGATACAGTAATCCAAATGGGGGCGCCCCCGAGATTAATACAGTTGAATGACTGTCTTCTTTTCCTTAAAGTAAAAGGTACGCTTGATTATTCCCAGCGTTTGGTTAGCTTTGTTTACTGCTGCCCCCTACCTGCTGTGCAACGTTCAGTCAGTGCTAGATTTTGACTCCAAGGTTCTTTTCTTCATCAATCTGCTGTGATGTAATGTTATTAATTTGTTAGTTGTGGCGTGAGTTGTTATGCCCCACATGCAGGGTCTTGCATTTGTCGATATTAAACGGCATTTGCCAGTCATCTGACCATTTGTGGAGTTCATGGTAATCCTGCATTCCTCTGGCTGTGGATGAACAACCCGTTCTCGCACTTGCTTATAGTCAATATTGGCTTATTTAATAAGTGCATATGTGACATACTTATTGATTGTGAATATTTTAGTTTACCTTGAAAAGCTTCATAGGAAACACCGACCTCACCTAACCTTCTTAGTATGTTAAGATAAGCATCTTACTGCTTCTTAATTACAATTATTACTTAACCTATACTGTTGATAGGTTAAGATTATCACTGTCAGGGAGAACCCGGTTCTATTTCATGGTGTACAGGTTGTAAGGAAATAGGTATTAAGGGTATAGTAAGTAGCAGATGTTACAATAGTAGGTACACCAACCCCTTTCCTACCCCTCCTCCTCCTCCTCCCTTCCCCCTTCCATCATCCTTTCCTTAGTCTACCCTCAACTATCTCACTAGACTTTTACTTTCACTCCTTTCTCCGCCTCTCTCTCACTCATCTCCCCCTTTCTCCTCTTATGCTGCTCTTTACTCTTCCTCTCTCTCAATCCCCCATTCTTACCCCCCCCTTACATTACACAATCCAGTGGGCGACACGCTCTCACACCACTGCTCCTCACGCTTCACCTTCAAACTCCAAACTCCTGTATACTACATTCGTACACACACGCATGCACGCACGCACACACACACACACACACACACACACACACACACACACACACACACACACACACACACACACACACACACACTAGAGAAAAGAAGGGAGAGAGGAGATATGATAGGGACATATAAAATACTCAGGGGAATTGACAAAGTGGAAATAGATGAAATGTTCACACGTAATAATAACAGAACGAGGGGACATGGGTGGAAACTGGAAACTCAGATGAGTCACAGAGATGTTAGGAAGTTTTCTTTTAGCGTGAGAGTAGTAGAAAAATGGAATGCACTTGGGGAACAGGTTGTGGAAGCAAATACTATTCATACTTTTAAAACTAGGTATGATAGGGAAATGGGACAGGAGTCATTGCTGTAAACAACCGATAGCTAGAAAGGCGGGATCCAAGAGTCAATGCTCGATCCTGCAAGCACATATAGGTGAGTACATATAGGTGAGTACACACACACACACACACACACACACACACACTACAAAATTGCAGTTATCCACTCTGCCAATCTAATTTGAATGTATGTGCTTACCAAAACTGTTAAAAAAAACCTATGAGAGCTACTTTCTTTGTAAGGAATATGAATACCAATATCAAAATATCAAGTAATGCTCGGAGAGAACAAGGTCTACACAGCTTGTTGTAGGTCTAGGCGGGACTAAAGAGCCGGAGCTCAACCCCCGTAAGACAACTAGGCGAGTACAACGTCGTTGAATCAGTGATTCCATCTCCACCACATGGAATATTCAGCTCCGAGAATCATCCTTTTGGCACCTGGCGCATTTTTCGAGCCTCCCAAGCATTCTTCTAGACACTATCACGCAAAAGTGCGGCACAGTCATCAACATTTTGTTAAGGAAAGTTGCGTCATTTTTGCAATTCTGACATTTGGTCAATATTTTGTCCATTGTGACAACTCAAAGAGACAGGTTGCCTCCTATCCCCCCCCCCCTCCTCAAGATGATCAAACACCAACTTATGATTCTGAATGATTTTTGCTCACACAATCGCTATTGCACAGTGGTAGCGAGTGGCTACACCTGGTTTCGAGACCTAGGAAGGTAGAATCGACTGGTCATCGATCCTAAACTGATATAGTCCTCCTTCAACAAGAATCAACACCAGTAACTGGGGGATCTGGTTGTAAACTTATTGGCAGGCCATGTTCCAGGGGAAACTAATGGGGTAAGGCTTACTATAAGTTATGGTTAAGGAAAGCTCTAAGCCTACTAACAGAAGTCAGAAGTCGTCTACTTCTGTACCCACTCGTGTAACAATAATAATAAAAAAGTGCACTCCGTCTCTCAAACTACAAACAGTGACGGAAGCGCCCCCTGGAAACACAAACCATAACTGACCCTATTTTCCGCTTGTTACAACTTGTAATAAAGTTGTTACATCTTGGCTTAACGTGTTTTTGACGTATTGGAACGTTGTTACAACTTGTTATATTGGTTCTTATAACTTGTTAGGAGGTATTAAATCTTGTTCGAACGTTGTAGCAACGTCGTTAGTTTCGCTGTGTTTTTGGCGGCATGTGCAGCTGCGACTAACTTCATCCCCGCTCACAAGATAAGTTAGCAGTCATATAAATCCTTTCTGGTTTAGTGTTAGGCAGAAGAGTGGAGGTACTCACAGCCGTAGAGGCCGGCCACGATGACGGAGCCGGTGAGCACCAGCATGGCGGCGCAGAACAACAGACACTTGCGGCCGCCCTTGTCGCCTGTCATGTTCGTCACCTCAAGATTCTTCCCACTGTGGAAATCAACACACATCAAAAGTGCTCAGATATATAAAGGTAATATTCCTATTGTTGTGTGTTAAATGTTTCTCAGAAGACCTCAAATCATATTTGGTAAGATTAGTGTGGGAAATTTCTACAAATAAGCCAATATTATATGGAAAAAACTTGAAACACTAATCCAATATATGTTTTGTGTTGTTATCCCCCCCCCAGGGAACCCACGCGGTCTCCACGTGGGTACATAAACACCATAAAGTAAACATCAAGCCGAAGAGATGGTCAGGCGGCGTGGAGTTAAACCCAGAGTGATTTTGGTGACTAACCACGCCAGCCAATTGAAATACCTACACCAGTAAGACTATCCTTACTATCCCTATCCCCCCAAACTACCTTAGTGCAGATTGATTACTATTACGTCACTACCATGAACTAATTGTGTGTTAGCCGTTACCAGTAGCCATGTTTGAGGATGCGATCAATGAAAATATATTTAACATACACTGTAGCTGAATTGTAAGATTAGATAATATCTATCTGTGGGACATTTGTGAGTGCAAGTAGGTGTGGTGGGCAGAGGCAGGCACAAGCACCCATACTTCACTATCAAGTTAAGTGTTTAAAAGCAAATCCCTACAATTTGTATACAGTACAAATATAGGATGCAAAATTACTATTTTCTGAATGTCATAAAACTTTGGGAAAAATCTTTGTGCGTTTATTAAACTTCATAAATGACTTTAATTAAAGATAGGTGTGAGGAGGAGGATGTGGGAGTTGAGCAGCATTGTCAGGTGTAGAGGACAGGCCTCCCACACAGCCTAATTTGACTACTCTGCTGCTAGGACACAGGACACAGCCCTGCTGCTATGACACAGGACCCAGCCCTGCTACTAGGACACAGGGCCCAGTACAGGAAGGGAGATATTTGGACTGTATTATGCCCGCTTACAGCAAACTATAAATGCACCAAACACCTACATCGCCATATATACCTACATTGACATCCCCCTACACAGATACACACCTGACCAAAGAGCTGAAGCTCAACCCCCGCAAGCACAACTAGGCGAGTACACCTGCACTAACATACACCTGCAGCATGTATTCAAAAATATTGCTAAAAATACATATATAATTCCTATATTATGAAATAAACAAGACATATATAAGATCAGCTTTAACACAGCTTAGATCCTGATTTACAAATATATGTACATTCGTCTGTGAAAGCCCACAAGCAGTTCTGAACCATTACCCATTGATGAAGATTAAGCCACTCAAGAGGTGGCACGGGCATCAATAGCCCGTAAGGAACCATTATCAAATTGATGTTGTATAAATATTTGGTTAATGGAGTAAGAGAATGTTGTAATACTAATGTGAATGGCTTAACGTATTGACAACATGTGACTATACTACGCGCATGCGCAGCAGCGTATTCAGTGTTGATTGTTGTCTCAGCACAAGATCATATGAAAAGCTGCTCGCAAGGCAATAAACTGAAGTTCTGTAGCAGATGTTGATTGTTAATTTGTATAATGTGGTAGCCAGTAGGGCCAAGCACCGTAAACATGACCCAGCAGCGCAGGGTTAGCACATAAAGCAGGTGCGAGGAAGAAAATGGTATTGTGGGTGTTTGGTGAAGTTATGCCGCTCTTGCCCCAGTTAAGTTCTTGCAGCTAGGTCAGCATTCAAGCTTCAAGTTAGTTTGTCACAGGTCGCCAGGTCATCTACCTGCTGTCTGGGCGTGTCACCTCTGCTGCCCAGGTTAGGTAGTCCGTCGGGCCAGAGGTCATCAAGGGAGGGAGTACCCTGCCACCATCAGCAGGCTCCCTCAGGCTGGGAACTGCAGTAGAGGTCTTGGTGATGTCAGGCAGGTTGTGGACCTCGATGACAACGTTTTGCGAGGGTACCTTCCGCGACGTCTCCTCGTTATTGTCACGCGGTGTTGAGGACGTGTTGGGCCACAGGTCTACACTTGCTCTTCCCGACGTCGTGTCTAAGTTTTTATCTGTTGTGGTTTGTGGTGTGATGCTGACTGTGTTACAGGATGACTGAGGGTGTTGGCTTTCTACGGTAGGTGTGTAGGTCATACTAGTGTCGGGTGAGCAGGTTACGGTGGCGTGTTCATGTTCCCCACTAGCATAAGCTTCATCTTCTGTTGTGATAAGTGGCTCATACAAAGCAGTTGGTGGATTATCATCTGCAGAAAACCCAAAATCTCTCTCACTGTTTACAGTGTTCACCTCTATCTTTAAAACATTCCCTTCAGAAGTAATGGCTGCAGAATCATTTACTTTACCTCTATCACAGGTAAGATAGCGGGCACTTATATTGCCAGCCCTTATGTCAGCGTCCCATGAGAAAAACGAAGATTCTGAGAGAGATTTCTCATTTTTCTTTAAAAACTTACGAGTTTTTAATGGTCTTCCAGATTGAGTTTTGGCGTCTGGGGTCCGGTTTATCTCTTGGTCCTTCACTTCCAGTCTCCAATCCTGGCTTTGGTGTCGGAAGTCAGAGTCTAGTTTCTGGTGTTGTTCTTTTTCGACGACCACCAGCCTCAATGGGTCGGCAACGTCTGGGGTGCTCTCTTGGTCCTCCTCTTCGGGTATAGGCGCGAGGGAAGAGCGTGACTGGTCGCCGTAGTGGAAGGAGTGGCAACGTCTCGTCCCAGTTCTGTACTTCTGTCTATTTTTCAATCTTTTTCTGTCGAGGGAATGCGAGGCATCCATGTCGTGCAGCACCGCCGGGTGAATATTCGTGTTCTGCTGGTCTCGAAACCGGAGGTATTGCAAAATTTTCAACCGGTGAATGACACTTTTATTAAGTCTTAATGATGCTAGTTTCTCTTCCAGTTCCTTGGCAACTAAATACCTGCGACCAAGTCTGAAGTTTGCTAAATCTTCCTTCAACAATTCTTTTAATTCGTTTCGTTTTGCATCAATTGAAGTCGTGTCCACACCTTCATCAGCAGGCAGAGGCACTCCTCTTCGTTCATTAGAAACCTGCTGTGGTTTTGTGTCTTGTAACTCTTCAAAAATATAACGTTGTTTGTCATTAGCTGCATAAGAATCTTCCGATGGCATGTGAATGGCGGATACGGAATCTGTGCCCAATCCACAAGGATTTTCTGAAGTTTGTACTAAGTCAGAGGAAAGGAATTGATGAGGTTGACTCGTTGAAAGATGAGAACAGTGAGAAGCTTGAGAGGCATTATCGTGCAAGTTAGTGCTAGACGAAGCTGGGCTGTGTGTGCAGTCTTCAACCTGTGCATTGGAGCTAAGTGAATCAGGGCTAAATGAAGTGCTCAGATCCTGTGCATTAGTACTACACAAGACTGGGCGGTGTGGGTTGTCTTCAACCTGTGCAGAGTGAGCGAGTGAGTGTGTGCGTGGAAATGTTAGTTCAGACATGCCATGCACAATTTGTGGGATGCTGAAAGTAAAGATGCAATCAATAAGATTTGGTGAAATATTTGCAGTTTATAGTATATAAAATATTAAAATCACAGAGACTTGTTTCAGACTGAAGACGTACATTTATGGTTGGTGCAAATGTTGTCAAATAATACCATGCTGCCACCCAAGATAAACATGAAGGGATAATATGACCAGTGTGGATAATGATAACACTCCCAATACCCTAACCATGGTTCCTCCATCCCTAACCAGCTCCCATGATGCACCTGTACCCACCCTTTGTTTACACCAGAGACTCGTCCAGCCTCTAGTCGTTCTTTTACCTTTCTATCCTCTCGATCCTCTCTCTCTCCATCTTTTCTATCCGGATGTCATCATAGGAACCATGAACGTGGTCAGGCTTGCCTGTCTCCAGGATGAACTTGACCCGGTGACCTCCTAAGGACTTCTGGGCGACGTAGTTGGATTCTTCTGAGGAGCTGAGGGGAGAAGGAAGGCGGGGAGGTGCAACAGAGGGAAAAGATGACTCTCTTGCACACTGTTGCTGCTACTGCTACAGTAATGTGTGTTATTAAGTTTGTTGCTCATATACATTTACTATGATAGTAAGATCTGAGAGACAAAGCTGCCTATACAATACTGTACTTGGCTGTGATACCTAAGCTGAGGTCACATATGTTACCACCACAAACAAGAATTCTACAGTGAGTCATTATATGTACGAACCCTACAGTGACAAATAAAGTGAAGCAGCTCTACAGTGAGCATATTACAGCTGTATCAACTCTACCGTGGTAGCCAGAAGCATCAAATATATAAGGCTGTGAGAAGACCTACCCAACAAAGCGGTGTGTGTCAATAGGGACGAAGTTGTCGTCATAGGGGTCCGTGAAGCGCGCTCTCTGGTAACCATTGAGGGTGGCTGCGTTTCCTGCTGCCGCTGCCGCCGCGTTCTGCTGCAGCCCCAGGTTCACCATCTCCATGTTGATCGTGGAGGAGGAGCCGCTCTTCTTCAGGATGCCCTTCCTGACGGAGGAGACGGAGCTGCGGTGGCTCAGGTTCCCCGACCGGTGGCTCACCGGGGAGTGGCGGGGACTTGGCCGTGGACTCATACTGCTGGAGACAGAGCAAAGCACGAGGTCATCATAAGTCAAGAGGTCATCACAGATCAAGAGGTCATCACAGATCAAGAGTCATCGCAGGTTCCAATTATCCCAGGAATCCCCCCCAGGCCATAGAGGGACTATATGAGTGTAGAGTCACTACGGTGCAACAAGACTGGAGGAGGTGGGCAGGTGAGGTCAGGTCACAGCCTCCAGGTAACACACGTGGACCATCTTCTATAATGAATCATCAGTAATAATGTCTGGAATCCTCTGGGAAGGTAAAATGGTAAAATGGTAAAGGTTTATATTTATGGTTTGTCATTTTCTTCTTAATTTTGTGTTTACTCTTTGGGGAACACAGTTATAGAATTATCTCAAAGTATTTCACCTTTGTTTCGTATTAAGAGTCAAGAGACCCAAAGACGGTTAAGACAAAGGACCACAACGACAACCAGCTTCACAGTTGCATACACTTCCCCTTGGAGGCAAGAGAGTGCTAAGACACACACCACAGCCGGCCATACACCCACAGGAAGATTGTTGCCACCTTCCGCCAGCCACAGCCTCCCGCCCCCTGTCCCTCCTCTCCCATTATGAGTCCCGTCATATTTAACCCGATGGAACAGTGCAATATATTATTCAAAATTAAAGCACTGTAATACTGATCACGGTCTGGATAAATTAGACAGGTTGCTTGGGTTCGTACGTTTCTGGTTTAGCAAAACAGTTGCATTTTTGACGGAGTGGCAAATTGAGAGAACGGACCGCTCCACCGCCAGGTAAATCAGGAAATACAACTGACTTTTTGATATCATTGATAGTGTAAGGAAGGTGACGGAGACACAGACCGTGTACACGCTCCTCACAGGTCCAGCCAGTCCTCCCCTCATGAATAATCTTAACACACTGCTTCATAGCTTCTGACCTCACATTTTGCTCCAACTTTTTCAAGCACATACAAGCACATACAAAACATTCAAAAACTTTTCAGATTTTGAGACATTCTCTGCTTACATTTAGATTCAGAGACAACCTGAGCAACGAGAGAGAGAGAGAGAGAGAGAGAGAGAGAGAGAGAGAGAGAGAGAGAGAGAGAGAGAGAGAGAGAGAGAGAGAGAGAGAGAGAGAGAGAGAGAGAGAGAGAGAGAGAGCGAGAGAGAGAGAGAGAGAGAGAGAGAGAGAGAGAGAGAGAGAGAGAGAGAGAGAGAGAGAGAGAGAGAGAGAGCGAGAGCGAGAGCGCGCGAGCACCTAAAGGAGAAGGCCGAGCACCAAGAGGAGGCCGAGCCCCAAGAGGAGGAGGCCGAGCACCAAGAGGAGGTGGCCGAGCACCAAGAGGAGGAGGCTGAGCACCAAGAGGAGGAGGCCGAGCACCAAGAGGAGGAGGCCGAGCACCAAGAGGAGGAGGCCGAGCACCAAGAGGAGGTGGCCGAGCACCAAGAGGAGGAGGCCGAGCACCAAGACTGACCTGAAGTGTAATCTGGGGGAGGGTGAAGGAGACTGATCTGGCGACGACCTGGCCGAGGTGGTGGAGCCGTCGCCCCGTCCCACCTCGTCGTCGTCCTCGCTGAAGAAGGCCGGATTAACTACCCCGGGGTCGTCTTTGTCGTCCTTGTCTTCCCCGGGCATAATGTCATCTTCATCGGAGTCGTCATCACATCCCAACTTGTACTTGGACGACCGTCGTTCCAAGTTCTTCAGCTTGCCGTTGGCCAGGGCTCCTTCTTTCTTATTCTTGTCATTCCTCTTGTTCCTGGCGGCGTCGTCGTCGTCGTCGTTGTTGTTGAGGGCGTGTGAGGCGGGCACGAGCGGGCACCCGTCGCCCACGTCGTCGTCGATCTCCAGAACCGCCGTGTTCTCGTTCTCGTCCGTCAGAGACTTGCTGTCGTCTTTGATCTTGTTGTTGATCGAGGCGAGGAAGGCCTGCAGGTGTAAAGGTGTCAACAGGGTCAGTATATGCGCTCTCGCTCTCGCTCTCGCTCTCTCGCTCTCGCTCTCTCGCTCTCGCTCTCTCGCTCTCTCTCTCTCTCTCTCTCTCTCTCTCTCTCTCTCTCTCTCTCTCTCTCTCTCTCTCTCTCATATATATATCGCTACTGCCAATATCATGGATACTAAAAGAATCAAACATAAAAATTCGTTTTCTATGCCTTGCACGTCGTCCCAACACAACCCCCCACTAAGGTATTCCTCGCCGGCCCTCCAGACTGGCGCACAGGCGTTCTCAGTTCTCACTCAATTCTCAGCAAACAACATTATTCAAAGTTCTGTTAAGTGTTATACATTGTATGACTATAAATCTTTTGGGAAAACTCGACAAATCAGTGAAAACTGGTGGCTCATAACGAACACATATAACTGTTTCACCTGGACTAATATGACACCTGTAGCCATGTTTCACCTGGACAGATCGCGCCAGGAAGGTAATATTCCTTAAACACCCTGTAACTACACACACACACACACACACACACACACACACACACACACACACACACACACACACACACACACACACACGTTAATGTGTTAACGACATGTTTACAGGCGTAGAGTCCTACATGTCGATGTTTGCGGATGATGCAAAGTTGATGAGAAGAGTTGTGACAGATGAGGATTGCAGGATCCTCCAAGAGGACCTGAACAGATTGCAGAGATGGTCAGAGAAATGGCTACTAGAATTCAACACGAGCAAATGTAAAGTTATGGAAATGGGACTAGGAGATAGGAGACCAAAGGGACAGTACACAATGAAGGGGAACAGCCTACCTGTAACGACGCGTGAAAGAGACCTGGGGGTGGACGTAACACCTAATCTATCTCCTGAGGCACATATTAATAGGATAACGACAGCAGCGTACTCTACACTGGCAAAAGTTAGAACATCATTCAGAAACCTAAGTAAGGAGGCATTTAGGGCGCTTTACACTGCCTACGTAAGGCCAGTCTTAGAGTATGCCGCCTCATCATGGAGTCCCCATCTGAAGAAGCATATAATGAAACTGGAAAAGGTTCAGAGGTTTGCAACGAGACTCGTCCCAGAGCTACGAGGGATGGGGTATGAAGAGCGCCTGAGGGAACTGTGCCTTACGACACTAGAAAGAAGAAGGGAGAGGGGGGACATGATAGGAACGTATAAGATACTCAGAGGAATTGACAGAGTGGACATAGACGAAATGTTCACACGGAATAGTAACAGAACGAGAGGACATGGATGGAAGCTTGAAACTCAGATGAGTCACAGAGATGTAAGGAAGTTTTCTTTTAGCGTGAGAGTAGTGGGGAAATGGAATGCACTTCAGGAACAGGTTGTGGAAGCAAATACTATTCATAATTTTAAAACCAGGTATGATAGGGAAATGGGACAGGAGTCATTGCTGTAAACAACCGATGCTCGAAAGGCGGGATCCAAGAGTCAATGCTCGATCCTGCAAGCACATATAGGTGAGTACATATAGGTGAGTACACACACACACCACTAACCATCACCAACAACACTCCCAACAATGAAACACTCAACACTCCACATAACGTCGTCCCTCCTATAATGACCACAACGAGCTTGTGTATAATGCTGGACTATACAACACGCACAGTTTATCTCTAACAAGCGACCACCAAACAGGCTGTATCACCCCACCAACATTAACCCCAATTTTCTCTCGCTATTGTTGAAGAACAAATTACTATTGATACCCTGAAATGTAAACACACATCCACAAGCACTGTCCCCCTCTGGTGGGTGGCGCCAGGGGGGGGAGGGGAGGGGGAGGGTCATATCCACTTCCTAAATGGTATTTGTGGATTGAAAGGCGAATCAATTACTGTCACTTGTCTTGTAAAATGTACACTATTGGATTCTCGCGCTTGTTATCGCTTCTTGCAGGTCGGCGTTCAATTCCCGACCGTGCACGTGGTTGGGCACCATTCCTTTCCCACCGTCCCATCCCAAATCCTTTATCCTGACCCCTTCCCAGTGCGATATAGTCGTAATGGCTTTGACGTTTTCCCCTGATAGTTTCCTTAAGAGTGTATTACGTGGTGTGTAATGATACATACACCCTCCCTAACGTATACAACAAGTGTATAGTATACAGTGCTTGTAAAGCTTGGAGTTATTTCTCAAGTTTCCCTATTGAGAAAAAGATCTGTGACTAACGTGTCGATAATATACTTCAGATACTTCTAAAAATAATTCATTCGTCAGATATTTTCCTAAGGTCACTTTAAAAGTGGCTTTGATGGAACTTAAAACTTAGACGATTCTTTGATTTTTAATTAAACGTGTTTAAAAAATGAAGACGATAAAGCCAACTAGTAAAACAAATTTCAGCAATTTAAGATGAAAATAAAAGTAAAAATCTCAAAATAACGGTCAGAAAGTATACAGATTTAAAATTCTAATATTGAATGATTTTTTTAGAAATATTTACATATGGTATATCTAATGCACAGACCTATTATATTAGAACCATCACTGTGCACTGAGCACACCATCACTACCACACTGTGCACTGAGCACACCATCACTACCACACTGTGTACTGAGCACACCATCACTACCACACTGTGTACTGAGCACACCATCACCACCACACTGTGTACTGAGCACACCATCACTACCACACTGTGTACTGAGCACACCATCACTACCACACTGTGCACTGAGCACACCATCACTACCACACTGTGTACTGAGCACACCATCACCACCACACTGTGCACTGAGCACACCATCACTACCACACTGCGCACTGAGCACACCATCACTACCACACTGCGCACTGAGCACACCATCACTACCACACTGTGCACTGAGCACACCATCACCACCACACTGTGCACTGAGCACACCATCACTACCACACTGTGCACTGAGCACACCATCACCACCACACTGTACACTGAGCACACCATCACCACCACACTGTGCACTGAGCACACCATCACTACCACACTGTGCACTGAGAACACCATCACTACCACACTGTGCACTGAGCACACCATCACCACCACGCTGTGCACTGAGAACACCATCACTACCACACTGTGCACTGAGAACACCATCACTACCACACTGTGCACTGAGCACACCATCACCACCACGCTGTGCACTGAGAACACCATCACCAACACGCTGTGCACTGAGCACACCATCACCACCACACTGTGCACTGAGCACACCATCACTACCACACTGTGCACTGAGCACACCATCACCACCACACTGTGCACTGAGCACACCATCACCACCACACTGTGCACTGAGCACACCATCACTACCACACTGTGCACTGAGCACACCATCACCACCACACTGTGCACTGAGCACACCATCACCACCACACTGTGCACTGAGCACACCATCACCACCACGCTGTGCACTGAGCACACCATCACCACCACACTGTGCACTGAGCACACCATCACTACCACACTGTGCACTGAGCACACCATCACCACCACACTGTGCACTGGGCACACCATCACCACCACACTGTGCACTGAGCACACCATCACCACCACACTGTGCACTGAGCACACCATCACCACCACACTGTACACTGAGCACACCATCACCACCACACTGTGCACTGAGCACACCATCACCACCACACTGTGCACTGAGCACACCATCACCACCACACTGTGCACTGAGCACACCATCACCACCACACTGTGCACTGAGCACACCATCACCACCACACTGTGCACTGAGCACACCATCACCACCACACTGTGCACTGAGCACACCATCACCACCACACTGTGCACTGAGCACACCATCACCACCACACTGCACATTGAGCACACATATGGAGGCCTCCAACACGAAAAATGTTTGTTATCTGAAAGCACGACGGTCCATCATTCACCAACTACAACAACCTAGGATGCCACTGAAACAGTCAATATTGAAATATATCATATTTCAATAATATTGAAAACCGTTAAATCTACACGTTTTCAGCATGCATACACCAGAGAATCCGCGAACCCATCCACAAATCTCACTGAATCCGGCCCGCTGGCCCCTTGGGACGACCCCTCACGTCGGCCTGGGGACCCACCATCGTAGAGCACCATGCCACCCCTGGGGCTGAGGCTGGCACTACCACTCTGGCATGGGGACGGAACCACTCTGGCATCATCGTAACGACGCCACCTACCGCCGGATGTGCGGTAAATGCCTGGGCTGATCCATGTTGGCCGGCGCTGGGGCAAAACCCACTGCACGCTCCCAGCTTTTTGCCTCTTAGATGGCTGTTTGCCGTCCTGGTCCCACTGTGTGGAGACCGCTCCGACGCCGCCCAGCGACACGACACGTCAAAAGTTAAACCAATTACAAGTGGCGAGAGCAACGCGAGGAAACAATTTAGGGCGACTACTAGGCCAAGCGGATGGAAGTAGCGTGAGGTTTATGGTAGACAATACACTGCACAGAGTGCATTGGTGTGTAGCGCTACACCAGCCCTGTGTCGACACCCTCCTCAATGGTGGGCTTCCCCTCCCCCCACCATAACACCATACTCACACCACCACACCACAACAACTACATTACCACAATTACATCCACAACCATTATTTTCATCATTCAACAAGTCACACCGTCACCACCACATCTTTGGCTGTATTTTGGCTTTGGAAGCTAATGAGATTTTTCATATTATTCCAATTGTTATGAAATCATTATATTCATGTTTAGCCATGTTGCATTTGTTTAGGTTCACTTGTGTACTCTGCTCTCTGTATTTCATACTTTGCTCTCAGCCTCTGTGCATCACTACTTGTTGCATCACCTCTTGCGCCGTGTTGCATCTGTGTCTTCCTTTCAAGGCACATTCCCCAGATACTCTTTTACTCCCATGAAATTCCCTTTTCTGTAGTCTGCCATTTCCTTGCTCGGATGACTTGGTGTTTTGTGT